GAGGGCGCCCTGACCGCGCGGCTCGGAGCGGGGAGCTCCGCCCTCTCCCCGGGCTGCTCGGCCCTGCGCGGGTGCTGGCGGGCGGGCTTCGTCGCGGGGTGGAAAAATGGAGGATCAGGAGTGCAGCTCCTCTGCAAATAAACGCGTAACACTCTCTTCTCTTTTTTTCTGCAGCAGCCACAAGTTTAATTGTCAGTACGTGAAAAATAACCTGATTGCTTTGTCCTGGGAAATAGCAACCCCGCCAGATACACCTGCTTGCCGGGGACAGAGGTAAACGAGTTTTCTGTGTGATATCCTCATATTCATATTTTAAAAGAAAAATAATAACCCAATTTTCGTAGGCCCAGAACCTTTCGAAATTGAACTACGTGTAGGAGATGTGTTTTCCCATCCATTTCTTTCATTGGTGGTCTTTGTTCCTTCCATATTTTGTCGAAACTCAGGAAAACAATTTATACTTGGCAGTTTTTATGTGGTAGTTATTTTAAACGTATTATATCTAGATATTTACCTTGGAAAGGAAGAGAGGCTTCAAAAGCATTTTTTTCCGTGCCTTGTAAAGTGTCAGGCTTCTGGGGCTTGTATAACAAGGTTGTGTTTTCTGTGATTCTAGAGATTTTTATAAATTTAAGAACAGAATTTCATCTATATAGTCACTCCTTCCAGTAGAACTTGGAGCTGTTGATTAACTGGTTATATTTCTTTGTAGCACAACCAGAAGATACATTTTTAAAAAAAATTTATTTGGTACTAGGGATTGAACCGGGGGCCTTGCACAAGCTAGGCAAGTATTCTGCCACTGACTTAAACCCCATCCCCAGAAGATAGCGTTTCTTCAGTCTCTCCTATCCTTCCCTAAAAATACTTTTTTTGGGGGGGTAGGTACCACCTGACTTCCCAAACCCTGCTAAGACCTTCCATAGTGTTCAGCTGTTTTTCTTGTACATTTTTGATAGGTTATCTGGCCGCCCTCCTTGCCATAGGTTTTGTTCAGATATGCCCACTTTGACAAATTATACCTGATACCCTTTGTAACATTTGCTTTGGCTTCCCTCAAAATTACAGTTCAAATCTAAGTCTCTTTTGGGACCTTTTCTTGGTTAATATCCTCATCCTCTAATATAATACCCTAAATGAGTATAATTTTCATAGTGTTTGTACACATGTGTAGTTAAAAACCTTACATAGTTTGACAGTTTACAAAATTCTCACACAATATGAGGAAGGTAGTGTAAAAAATATCCTCATTTTATGAAGAGTAAATGGTGCTTGAATGTAGGTGCGTATTGAGAAGTAGGTTTTGTGCTCTTTCCTCTTCACTGGAGTGTCTTACAGTCTAATTTATAAAAAAAAAATGTAAGTTTAGAAGCGCTATGATTAAACTTCATTTTATGAATGAGGATACTGAATTTGTTTTTTAGATGCTGGACATTGAGCCCAGGGCCTTGAGCATGGGAAGTAACATGCTCTACCACTGAGCTACACCCTTACCCTTTAGGATACTCAATTGGATAGTGCTAAGGTCTAAGAATGGGAGAACTCAGGTTCTACATGCAGCTGTGTACAATTCAGAGGCCTTTAGGGGGAAGGCCAGTATTTTTAAAGTTAGGTGTTTAGCTAGGTGAGTTTAAAGTACAACATTTTAGTTCATTCCTACCCCTCTTTTATCGCTATCTTTTCTCAAGATCTATGTAGGTAATGTACAGATGCATACTAATATTAACTACCTTAAAATGTTTTATGTTTTAAACTCAGGTAAGTATAGTAACAAGTGTCTTGCTCATAGTTTTTTACTAAGCTTCATATAAGTATGATTTTGTTGTAAGGTGAGGCTCTGCATGGAAAGGTAGAGTGCTCATACGTGATTGATTTTTTAAGAAAAATCAAACATTGTTCTAAGGTACTAGGCTTTTGGTTTAGTAGAGTTTACCTAATTTATCAAATTATGTCTGTGAAATAAGTTTTAGTATTTGCCATCTAGTTGGCTGAAACTTAGGTACTCTCTTGAAGTTGCTGAATTTGAAGGTGTCTCAAAGCAAGGTGGAAGTTTGGTTTAAGTCTCTTAAGATAATGGGTTGAGGGTGTGGCACAGTGGTAGAGTGCTTGAGGTCCTAGGGTAGAAAATTCCTAAGCTGCAAAGCTTAATTTATTGGCCTTTTCCTTTTTCTTTGCCAATATGAATTGGAGGAAATCGGGGGTACTGTACTCAACACTCTGTGTTGTCAACAGCCAGTGGAATGGAACATGTGGAGTAATGAGAAGCCTTTTTTTAAAAAATTTAATGTTGTTATAGATTGTATCTAGACCCCCCTGCCCCAACCTCATGTCATAGATGGGGCCTCTTGGAGGTGGCAGGATATAGGGTGTGTAAATGTGGATTAAGGATGTGATACTGAGATTAAAGGTGTCCACTGATTGGAATTAGCAGGGTTTTGGGTGAGGCTGAATGGATTTACTGAAGACAGAAGCCCCACCTTGGGTGTGGGTGGCACCACCTGAAAGGTTTGTAGCCTGGATGGGATACAAGGGAAAGGCAGGCTTGCTGATTGCTAATACTGCTTGCGGCTTTGTTGTCTCCTGCTTGCTATGTCATGGACTGTTTCTCCTTTAAGATGCCCCTCTGCCATGCCACCCTGCCTTGGAGCTAGCCAACTGCGGACTGAGAACTCTGTAAACTGAATTTCAATAAACCTTTTCTCCTTTAACTTGTGGGTGTTGGGAATTTTGTTTCAGCAACAAGAAAATTAACCAATACAGATACCTAGAGAGTATTACCTTTTTTTTTGTACTGGGAATCAAACTGTGCTGCTGAACTATGTCTCCAGCTAACTTTTGTTTAAGAGTGAGTGAATAAGCTGGGCACTGTGGCATATATGTATAATCCTGTTGCTGTAATCCTATTGCTCAGGAGGCTGAGGCAGGAGGGTTGCAAGTTTAAGGCAGCCTGGCCTTTTTGTGACCTTTTCTCAAAAAAAAAAGTACGAGCACCTTTTATAGTACATTTCTTTTCAGTTGGTTGTTTAAAAGTAAAGGAATTTTGCTGGGTATGGTGGCACACACCTGTAATACGAGCACTGTGGAAGCTGAGGCAGGAGGATCACCACAAGTTAAGCCAGCTTTGGCTATGTAGTAAACTCAAGGCCAGCCTAAACTACATAGTGAGGCCCTGTTTTATGACTCATTTTCTGTGTATTACTAGTTTTTTGCATTTTTAATATTTTAAGTTCTACATTCATTCCATACAGAATTAACAATTTTTTGTAGTCTTTCTTGGCTGGATAGCTTAGTAGTTGGCTTAAAATTTTCTGACAGTGATAAGCAATAATGCACGTATAAAAAATAAAACTGCACATTTTACTGAATTTTACTGTGTATAATTCAAAAACTATTCAAAATAGAAACATGGTAGGAAAATAAAGTTGATTTAGGAGATGGTAGATAACTCATATCTTTAGCTATTTGTTGATATAAAACACTTAAGAAATTTCTAATTTGGAATATTAGTATGCTTTAAAATTTGGAGTTTTTTTAGTATTTAGAAATACTCAAAAGAAGAAGTGAATCTTGGAAAGTTTTTACCTTATACATGTAATTTGATCTTACTTTGCAATTTTAACAGTGTACAGTAATTGTGTTTGTTTACATACTACTTCTGAACTTCTTAGTGGGAAATAGCTAAAAAGAGAAATGGAGAGGATGTATGTTGTAGATCATGTTAATGAAGTAAGCTGCTAATTTCTTCAGATTGTGTGTTTTAGGCATACTTTAGGAATCTTCACTTTACTGTGAAGAATGTTCTTTACTTATGAAACTGAAGATCTTTTTATGTATTTTCCTTTAAAACTTTTGAGGTGTGGGGCTGGGGATTTAGCTCAGCGGCAAAAAGCGCCTGCCTGGCAAGCGCAAGGTCGTGAGTTCGGTTCCCGGTACCGGAGAAAAACAAAAAAAACAAAAAAAAACAAAAACAAAATAAAACTTTTGAGGTGGCAAAGCAGTTAGTATCTGTTTTCCCTAAAAGAGTTAACTGTGGAAGTGGTAATATAATTTTGTCCTAGAGAAAGTTTTGAGTATAAAGAGGAGGCAGATAGCTAAAGGAAGAAAAAAGTATTTGTCTTTTAAAGTGAATGAAAATAAACAGCTTTAAATTATAAATCAAAATTTGTAAGCGGTATCACTAAAAATGGAACAGGGGATCTGTTTTAATTTTGATGCACTTTTTTAAAAAAAGACTTTCCAAGTAGTGTTTTTCCTCTGTGGTGCATTTTAAGAGCTGTAAGTTGATTATGACTTTGGGATGACTGTTACTTCTAAATTTTCCTGTGTGTGACGTTTTCCTTTTTGCTTTTGGCCATATTTGGTTGCCTTAAATTTCTTCTTGGCCCTGTTAAGAGTATCCTCAATTTTCTTCTTTGTGTTGGGTGCACCTTTTACTAAAGCATGATTTATAAATAAGCATTGTGACTTGAAAAACAACTGGTTCATTTTGTTATACAAATCTCTAAATATTGATTTACTTCATTATGTAGCCTTCACATTCATTAATATTACCACCTATCTCAAGAGAAAGTTTTTAAAGTGGGATGCTGTCAAGCTTGCAGTGGCAAATGTTCTCCAAAATTCTATTTTTCATATAAAAATCTCACTTTTTTCATTGGCAAAAAATATTGTCACTTTTTTTCCCTTGAAGTACTCACACAAATCATTTTGTTCATTTTCAAGAAAATGACTGCCACTTAACCTAAATCTGAATAGATCTAGTTTGTCATTTGTGCCTTCGAGTAAAAATGGTTTTCCATGAAAAAGGCAGCCAGTTTACTTTGTGACTCAGTCATACAAGTGCTTTTGCCCCAGACATCATCTGCTGGTAGGCAGAAGTGCTTTTGTAAGAACTTCTTGTCACAAAATATTAAAAAGATATGTAGGTAAGCATCAAGATTTAAGAAAATGAATAGTTTTTGCTGCTAAATCAAGGACATTTTAAAATGAAGCAGGCACCCCCTCACCCCACTGAGTGTGGCAGTGAAGAGCACAGGGACTGCTGGGACAGTCTGTTGCTGCTTACTGCCTTGCTGGATTCGTGCTCAGCCTCCAACAGTATCTACCCGCCAGTCCTTTTGTACTGTTAATGCAGATGTGAGCAAGGTACAGAATGATTGTCATCTTGTAGATTACCTAAAGGAAAACAGCAAAGTTTCTGCCCATTACATTCTGAGAATTGATGCTGTAGAATGATACAGGATGGCTTTGTTATTCTCATAGTTTAAAAAACCACCACCAAAATCTCATTTAATTTTCTAGGCAAGAGTAAATTGCAGTTCTCATGCTTTTTACAAATGATCCTTTCAGATAGAAAAATATGCCAAATCCTGGTAAGTTTATTATAAGAATACATGCCTAGCTTTATATTTCTGTGCCTCTTTTAAATAGATACCATTTTACATTTGTGGGCCCAAAGTAAAGAGCTCATTCTATTACAAACACTGAGTAGCTTTGTTTCTGACAGCTGGTAGTCAGCTCTCTGTTTTAAAACAATCAGTTGGGTCCTGCTGTTTCAACTTGCACTTGTCCTAGTCTTAACTCTGTCTTGGCCAAAGATTGCTATTGGGAAGTCCACACAATGGCCCTCTGCTAATGTGGAGCATGTTTTTTGTCCTGCTCATTAAACCTGCCGTGGTTGCATTCCCTTCCTGCATTCTCAGTTATTTCCTTTGTTTGGCTGGTTCAGATCATCTCAGTGTGAAGATAACTTCTAATTATTACACAGTCCAACTGGATCCCTGGAATAAAATGAAATGTTTCTTCTCTATGGTAGGATGTGATGGAGCTGCTTGAAGAAGACCTCACGTGTCCAATTTGCTGCAGTCTGTTTGATGATCCTCGAGTTTTGCCTTGCTCACACAACTTCTGCAAAAAATGCTTAGAAGGTCTCCTAGAAGGGAATGTGCGGAATTCTTTGTGGAGACCATCTCCATTCAAGTGTCCTACATGCCGTAAAGAAACTTCAGCTACTGGAGTTAACAGCCTGCAGGTTAATTACTCCCTGAAGGGTATTGTGGAAAAGTACAACAAAATCAAGATCTCTCCCAAAATGCCAGTGTGCAAAGGACACTTGGGGCAGCCTCTCAACATTTTCTGCCTAACTGATATGCAGCTGATTTGTGGAATCTGTGCTACCCGTGGTGACCACACCAAGCACGTCTTCTGTTCTATCGAAGATGCCTATGTTCAGGAAAGGGATGCCTTTGAGTCCCTCTTCCAGAGTTTCGAGACCTGGCGTCGGGGAGATGCTCTTTCTCGCTTGGATACCTTGGAAACTAGCAAGAGGAAATCCCTACAGCTACTGACTAAAGATTCTGATAAAGTGAAGGAGTTTTTTGAGAAATTACAGCACACATTAGATCAAAAGAAAAATGAAATTCTGTCTGACTTTGAGACCATGAAACTTGCAGTTATGCAAGCCTATGACCCAGAGATCAATAAACTCAACACCATCTTGCAAGAGCAACGAATGGCCTTTAACATCGCTGAGGCTTTCAAAGATGTGTCAGAACCCATCATATTTCTACAGCAGATGCAGGAGTTCAGGGAGAAAATCAAAGTAATCAAGGAAACTCCATTACCTCCCTCTAATTTGCCCACAAGCCCTTTTATGAAGAACTTCGATACCAGTCAGTGGGAGGATATAAAACTAGTAGATGTTGACAAACTTTCTTTGCCTCAGGACACTGGCACACTGATTAGCAAGATTCCCCAGAGCTTCTATCTGTTACTTGTGATAGTCCTTCTGCTTGGCCTCCTCATTTTCTTTGGCCCTGCCATATTCCTAGAATGGTCTCTATTTGATGAATTGGCAACTTGGAAAGATCATCTTTCAAACTTCAGTTCTTATCTGACTAAAGCAGCTGATTTTGTAGAACAGTCAGTTTTTTACTGGGAACAAATGATAGATGGGTTTTTCATCTTCAGTGAAAGAGTCAAGAATTTCACTTTGGTGGTGCTGAACAATGTGGCAGAATTTGTGTGCAAATATAAACTATTATAAAATCTCAACCATGTACTTCTCTGCTTTTTGATAGAAACTGTTAGTGAACAGAGTAGTGATTCAGAATTTGGACAAGAGACCAGACAGGTATTTTTCTCTAAAAGTACTCCCTTCAAAAATAATGTTCTATACACACTGTTCAAATTAGGTAGCATAAAAGTACAGTATTAAAATAAATACCCCCTACCCCATATTTGCTGTTTATTCTGTGATAAAAATTCAAAGTAAAAAAAATTGGAGGTGAGCATGCCTGTAACCCCAGCCACGGAGGACGCTGAGGATCTCCAGAGCCCAGGCACTCAGGACTAGCATGGGCGACTCCATCATAAAACACAAAACAAAAAAGGGAAATGAGAAAATACCTGATCTAATATTAAACTGATGAGGTAGGAGGCCTAGTAGTGATGGTTCAAGCATGCAGTGAAGACTAGTCTTGTAAAGCAATTTTTTGGACAGTGAGCATTCTTTTTAAAAAGACAATATGGATAGATTGGATTTCCAGAGTTTTCTAGAAGGTTGTCTCCATTCTTAGCAAAATGTAAATTTTATGTAAACAAAATCTGACATTTTTTTCTGGGAAGTTTACATTTATTTTTAGGAGGGTAGAGATTTAAGCCTATCCTTTTTCCCTTTGTTTTGTAAGTTTTCACTAAAGGTGATAAACTGCATAAGTGTTGAGTGAAGGGATGTTTTTTTAAAAGATCCAACACCTGTTAGTAGGAATGGGAAAGCCACCGTTACACTGGGAGCTAAGTGTTGTGCGTCTCTTGTTCTAAAGTATTCAGCAGCAACGGTACAACTAAAGCAGTGCACTTGCTTACAGAATTTTAGGTGTAGTAAGACTAATGTGACAATGGATGAAACAAACTGTCAGCTGTTATAAAGTATGAAGTAACCAGTGAACACTGATTGCTGTCCTATCTGCTCATATGAGATAAAGATGCCCACAGAATAAAAATACTTAATTTTCTAAACTTGCTTAGAATTAAGATGAAAAACAAAGCAATCTTAGGAATTACTTTATTTCTGTCATGGAAAAAGACTTCCCTTTGAAAGCCCATTAAGTAGAGTACAGTTTCAGAGGATAGAATGTCTTTACCCTAGTCCTTTAGTTTAGTTGAGAAGGGAAGGTAAGCAAGGGGTGGGGGGTAGCAAATAAATTGAAAGCACAGGAGAAATAATCTAGCTATGAGAAGAGTCAAAAGTAAGCTGATAGGTAAGATAATGGCTGCCTCATTCCTAACAGAAATCTGGGAGGGAAAATGCTTTTCTCCTAGTAATTTTTTTTCAGTATAAGATTTATACCAAGACGCTGTGCAGTTTTTTTTAATTTAATATTTTTTTGCAGTGCTGGCATTGACCCAGGGCCTCACACATGGTAAGCAAGAGCCCTACCACAGAGCCACACCCCCAGCCCAAGAATATAGTAAAGGGATTTATCTGACATCAGTGTTCAGAAATACTGGCAGTTTTCGAGTTAAACTACTGAGCTTCATGTGTTGATTGTTGGTTTTGTATCTTGCAAGTTCCCAAGGACCTCAAATCTGCAAACATCTGTGGATACACTATTTGTCTTACAGTGGTTATGCAGCAGTCTAGACCTTTAAGTTTTGTTATTCTCCCCTCCTCCATTGCTTAGGTGTATATAACCAGCAACATTTATGGTAACTGGTTTGTAGCTTCTAGTTTGAAGCTAGGGAAGAATGAGTTGTCAGGAACCAGTCACTTTTGCATATGGGAGGGAAGATATTCACAAGGCTTTCTACCATACATGTTTCCTGCCTCGGCACATACGTTAGATGGCAGAGATCAAGAATTCAAGATGGTGGTCAGATTTTTGTGGACAGAGATGGCGTTTTATTTAGTTTCATCTTAGATTTTTTGAGAATTCACCAACTTTTATTACCCACTGAATTCTCAGATTATTTTAGGCTTCAGAGAGAGGCTCTATGAACTCTATACTTTTGTTGAACTTGAATCAGCACCTGCTGCAGCTGAGACCTGCTGTCTTGGAGGTGCATTTCCTAAGCTGAAACACTCAAGCTTTTTGCAGTGTTTGGCTGTTGCAGCAAAACAGTTGAGATGCTAACTGGAAGGATGACAGTGTTTATAGAGCAACCTGCAGTACCAACCTGATGTAGTAACTCTTTCCCTCGGATGACCTTACTGTCACTGCCTCCACAAAGATCTTACCATGACCTGGTTTTCCATTGCTGGCTCTGACAGCATTGCAGAGAACCAAATGGGAATCAGGTATTTTGTACTTTGAAGTACATTTCTACTATTTCAGTTTCTGCTGTTTTGCTTCATGACTGAAAGCTCTTCAAGCCTAAAACTTCTTTTGGAAAAAAATCTTTATTCACATTCATGTTTTATGGTAACCTGTGAAGTTGGGTTAGAAAGACTTAAGTATTTCCTAAACCTGGACACTTTTCAGACTATATGCAGAACTATGTCAGACAATAGGAATAAATCAAAGCTGGCTAGGGAAAACTGGGACTGGATGTTCAGGTGATAGTAATTTCATAGATTTTATTCTGTTGCTAATGATTTGGCTTAGAAATGAATTTTTTTCAGAGATTATTGACTTATTTATAGGAATGGCTTTGTTTCTCCTGATTTCCTTACATACTATATTCTCCCAGTACTTATAATTTGAACTCTGGTTTTTCTTCAGTGGAGAAAAATATTTTTAAATATCTTAAAGGCAGATGTATTACTAGGCAAATTTAGTGTCCTGTTACATTCTTGGCTTTTAACTCAGAAAGCTGGGATAAGCTGTCAGTATGTTAAAGATAGATGTTCCTGAGTCAATTACTGACTTTCTCCCTCTGCTGTCCTTGGCTGGATCCTAAGGCTGATTTCCACTCTGTAGACATGAACACCTCTTCCCACTTCCATGAAAAATGTCTTAAAGCTGTTCTACCGTTATTTTACCAATGGTGAAAGCTAGTTTTAATTTTTAGGAGGAAAAAAATCCTGTATGTGTTTGATACTCATTTAAAATACAACAGTTTTTTTTTGTAATGGTAAACAAATGTTGGAAAAATTGCTAAATGAGCAGTAATCTTCAGAAAGGATGCCAGTTTCTGACTCTCTCCCAAAGGACCCCTTTGTCTCTTACATTAAATGGAGAGCACTGGGCGGTGTGACTATACATACATTTTATATTTATTAAAGTATCCTTTTAAGAGGTTGAAATGTCATTTTGGGGAATGGGAGGCAAATTAATATGCTGGTTGTGAAGAAACTCTAAGACCCGATCTTTTTCTCAAACTGTTTTAACTATGCACAGCTTTATATTCATTAATGGGATACATAAAGGAAAAATGATCCATTTGGTTTTTAAAATTTGATAAAGAACCAGACGTAGTCCACACCAGGAATCTCAACATTTGGGCAAGTTTAAGATTAGTCTTCACTAGCCTGTCTCAAAAGAAAAAAGATAACGCAATTATGACCTCTTTCGGGATCCCCTTTCAAAAAGTTAGAAACCCAAGGGAGAATAGTGTCAGTGATTTTAATGAGAAAAATTCTAGGTAAAAAAATAATGTCTTAGAACTAAGTGTTCTTTCAAAATTGTTTTGGAGACTGTGTGTGTGTGTGTGTGTGTGTTGGGAGTTGAACCCAGGCCTGCTAGGACAGCAGTCTACCACTGAACTACACTCCCTGCTTTAATAATGATTTTTCCCCCACTAGTAGCATTAGCAACGGAAATTGGACCATTCTGTGTGTACACAGTATCAAATAGTTTCCTATGAAGTGCTTATTAAGTTATAGAAACAGCAGTTTTTTTAAAAAAAAAATCTTAATGTGAGAAAGACATTATATTTAAACTTCCACAACAGATAATTCTAAAACCAGAACCTATTTTTATTTTTGCAGCACCATATGGTACTCTTTTCAGTTGTTTTACGATCAGGTTTTTTTCATCCTGTGTCTGTAATTTTTTATATTGTGCTAACTTCAAAATACAATCTGAATAAAGTGACATTATGGGGATCTAGGGTGATTAGGTGAAAATTTTGGCCTTAAAAGGCCCACTGTTGAGCTTGTAATAGCCTACTTAGCAAACATTTTTGAGTTTTGCTGACTCCTTGGTCTGAATATTTTTGGAAGGTGGAACATGGTGGAGTAAGCCTGAGGGATCCTAGCAATGTAGTGTGTCATCACCTAGCTAATTTACTGTGTCCCGCCAATTTGATTTATACCTAAGAAGTTGCTTATTTATTATCATTTAAGTTCACAGTGCTAGAAATAACTGGGCCTACATCTTTCAGGTGGCCATTTATGTTGTAGCATGATCAAGCACAAGTTATAGTTACATGCTAGCAGAGTCTCTTTGGCAGCCTTTATTCTATCTGGCCTCTCCCTTTTAAAATTGGGTCAGAAGGAAAAATACAGTTGCCTTGAAAGTTTTTAAAATAAAGGGCTGATGATACGCCTCAGTGGTACAGTGCCTGCCTAGGATGCGCACCAGGCCCTAGGTTCAACCTCAGTCATTCCCATTTGTTTCTTTTAGTCCATTCTTTTTTGGTACCTTGGAATCTTCTTGTTCAGTTTGGCTTCACAGGGGAATCAGTGTACTTTCTTTTAAGTACGTTCTACTTTGTTACCACTACTATTTACTATTTGTGTATTAATTCTTTTGTGATATTCTGCAATACTCTGACAAATGTTTCTAGGCTGCATAAGCAAGATCTGGATCTTGGGAGTAGATAAAGTGATTTTTATTAATGTTAAAAATTTATTAAACCAAACATAATAAAACTTTTTTTGGCAGTATGCTTTGTAGTTTGATGATTCTTAGATTTTATTACAAAATTGTTTTCTTTACCAAGAATAGGTTTCTAAATGTGTGCTACAGTGATCACTCCATTGTAGGGATAATCATTAAAAAGGGAATGTTTCCAAGCAGTTTTTGCCTCAGACTATAGATAGTTTAGGTTTCTGCTTCAAACTAATTCAAATTAGCCTTTTCCTCACATTTCATAAACAGTGGGAGGATACAGATAACATCCTTGATGGCAGACAAGGAAGGAGTCATACAGCTGTGTCATGTTGACATTAAACCCAACATACAGCCAGTCTGAGAAGTTCAGGAATATCTTTCGTAAATTACATGCATTAATTTTGTGGAGCTGTCAAGGGAATGAAAGTTTTTTTGTTTTGTTTTTGCTATTTCCACTCGCGAGGCTTTTTAGCCCCAAGTTTTGTGCTTTGACAGTGTTGAGTAAAGGCACAGTAAAATCTTTGTGACATTTTATGTGTGCAAAATTTCACCAGAAAAGTGGGTTTGGAACGAATAAGTCACAAAAAAAATGTTAACGACAGTGCTAATGTTTGGTAAAATTAGATCTGTGGGGACTATTGTAAATGTACATTACACTTCATTAAATTACATTCATTAAAGTCATTGATTCAATTAATATGATCAATTAAATTGACTAGTAGCAAATCAAAAATTAAAGTATTGGAAATAGTTAAATCACAATATACAAAACCTTAGGCCAACTTAGTTTGATCCAATTATTTGCTCTGAACCATTTCTCAGAATTTATCAATGTTGATTACATTCCTAAAGGTAGAATTGAAATGGCTTTGGAAATTGCCTCAAGTTTTTTATTTTCAGTACCCTAAATTATACATTTGGAGTTAATGAAATCTCAAAAAATTTGCTTGAAAATAGTGTCTTTATTGAAAGTTAGAAGTAAATTTATGGGTAGTTTTGTTATTAAAGTGAAGCTTTACAATTAAACTTTTTATGTGTGTCCCCAGGTATGTTTCTGTAAAACCTGATAACCGAAAATTGGTCAGTGGAACAAATGTCCTTGGCTTACTAATGGACACTTTGTTAAAAGAAAGTTTTCATCGGGCCAGTACTAAAACAATATCCTCTAAAGACAAAAGTGAATGCTACAGCTTTGCAAAGATAAAAAGCCCTGAAAGCCCTTGGCATGAATAAAACAAGCCACAGGAACCTGAGAAAAGGAAATGAAGTTATTCTCTCCTAAAGAGAAACTGCCATTTTCTTGTTTGAAAATCATGTATTGCAAGCATGCATGTTTATCAAATCTGTACTCTGTTCAACTTTTTGTCCTCATCTACCATGCCACCTCTGGGCAGCGAGGTGCCAGCCGTACCTAAGCCACATCACACTGCCTGCTGCTCTCTAGACAACACTGTGGACTTATTGCTTTGGCACATGTTCCTTCAACATTCACTGCCTCTTTCTCTTTTTTCATAAACATTTACACAGCTTTCAAAAATGGCTCTAGAGTCAGACTGCTTATTTTTAATTTCTGCTCATTTATTAGTTATGTGATTTAGACAAGCCACTTAACCTGTCTGTGCTTCAACAGACTCACCTACTAAACAGGGATACGCAGATCTCTCTCTCGTAGCACATATAGGGATTAAAGGGTATAAGCGCTCAGTGTACGGACTGGCACATGGTACGCACTCAGTAACTGCTCGTGATGAGGATGACAATGAAGACGGGTGAACCACTTTCACCTGCATCTCTGTGAGACCTTCTTCCTTTCTTAGGCACGTTAATCAACTTTGTTTTTTCAGTTACTGGGGATTGAACCCAGGGCCTCACACATGCTGAGCACATACTCTAGCACCTATACCCCCAGCAGCCCTCTGGACAGAATTATATACTGTCATAAAAACAAGTGTTTCTTGAATGTAAGCTTCAAAAGGTTTTAATACTACTATGTGTAAAGTACTGTGCCAAACACTTGGTGAAAGCAATAATACTTTTTTTTACTAAACAGTACCTAAATTTGGTGAAAAGCTTTAGAATAGCCTCTACCACCATTTAAAATACACATATGCTTTGACTTAGCAGTTTCTCTTCAAGGTATTATATATGTGTCATTTTAAATACTTGGGAAATTGAAGATATCAATATGTAATACAACAAGCACTGTTAATTTCCTACCACTTTGTTTGTAACTCTGTATTGTCTGTACTGTTCTTTTGCTATTTTGTAAAAGGCTGTCTGTCTGTTAATGTTTTCCTCCTTTTATTTTTAAAATAAAAAATAAATCAGGGCTGGGGATTTAGCTCAGCGGCAAAAGCGCCTGCCTGGCAAGCACAAGATCGTGAGTTCGGTTCCCGGTACCGGAGAAAAAACAAAAAACAAAAAACAAAAAACAAAAACAAAACAAAACAAAAAAATCAATAAATACTAAGGAAAAACATCTAGAAAAGGAAACACTAAGTCAAAGGCAGTAAGCGCTTTAAAGAGATTAAAAAGTTGAATGGAAGCACTTAACACCATCTAAAAGTATATAATTTATTTTAAAAATTTGGATATTAAATTTTCAGGTTTTTATAAAAAGATTAAGACAAAAGTCCTGGGGCTGGGGATTTAGCTCAGCGGCAAAGCGCCTGCCTGGCAAGCGCAAGGTCGTGAGTTCGGTTCCCAGTACCGGAGAAAAACAAAAAAAAACAAAAAACAAAAAAAAGACAAAAATCCTTATTCTGTTTTTTGCTTTTTTGAGACAAGGTCTCATTGTGTAGTGCAGGCTGGCTTTGAACTCACTGTGTAGTCTTCAAACTCACAGTGATCCTCCTGCCTCAGCCTCCTGAGTGCTGGGATTACAGGCATGTGCCACCATGCCTGGTGCGCCACCACACCGATTCACCACCACGCCCGGTTTATTCTGGAGTAGTTTATATTCAAGTAAGAAAGTAACAGCAAAAGATTAAACATAGACTCAAAGTGCAATATGAGGGGCCAGGGCTATAGCTCAGTGGCACAGCACCTGTCTGGCAAGCACAAGGTCCTGAGTTCGATTCCCAGTATCAAAAAAAAGTTCAATATGAAATGGGTAACTTATGATTCATATAATGAAGTACTATGCAGTCCATAAAAATGAGGCAGAGTTTATAAGCTAGTAAGGTAGGGTTGTAAAAATATGTTACAAGTAGGAAAATATATGTACACTTACTATTTATGGAAAAATATATATGAGCATTTAACAATAAATGGGTAGAATTCAGCAATGATAGAAGTTAACTGGAGAGGGAACTGAGTGAGTGAGATGTAGGTAAGGGCAGAAGATTTACTTTTCATGAAATGATGCGGATGGATACTTTTTAAAAAAGCTTTACCTGAAAGGTTGTGTGTGGAAAGGAAGCGGGGAGGCTGCTATGGTATAGTATGACCTACTGTCTCTCACAGTGACACAGATTTTACTCTACCACCCCTCCTGTGAAATACTGCCACTTAATAATTACGTTGAAATTACTGACAGACTTCTGTATCCTAAGTCAGCAAAAAAAGATTTAACATTGAAATGCTGCAAGAATGTTTTATTTCGTTGTTAGCAGATTAATCCTTTTTTTCTGCAGAAAAGACAACTTAGTTATTGTAGTGTGTTTTAGTCTTGGGGATGCTATATTTTGTCTGGTTCCCTTGCTGACATTATACTCTAGAGCACAGTATTTCTATTCGGATAAATTTTTGCCACATATGTGATTTAACTAGTTGAATACATTGGCAAAGTTTAACATATAACACTGTTTAATTTGGTACAGTGCTTTGCTGATAAGACCACTAAAAACTGGTAAGTGGTTAAAAATATACCTACAATTGCACCTACAATTTGGCAAGCAATAATACAGGAAATGTTTAAACTGCTGTTAATGTATTCTCAATCATGCATATTTGCAGGAAACAATTTTGAGATTAGAAATAAAATGTTCTTTTTAATGAGCTAATAGAAATATATTACCTATAAACATAATACACATAACATTCATTCATTAAATTTTTATGGACATCCACTATGTGCCAGTACTGTTCTCAACATTGTAAATCCTTATTGCACAGAACAAAAAAGTTCTTGGCCCCTTGGGCTTACCATAAATATGATTCATAATATTGACAATGAGTTTAAATTAAAACAAATTTTTCAAACATTTTCTCCAAAGTCATGAGTTCATATGTAGAGGTTTTGAGGAGATAGTATAATAATTTTTAAAAATATTCATTAGGGAGAGTATACAGTACTTTCCGAGTGGGCAGAATTTCTTAGTTTGGTCAGTACTCCAGAAGTTATCCCATCTGTCAGCACCATCTCAGTGTGCCTCTTGTGCTCACTCCCAACTAGAGTGAAGTACCTGGGCTGTTTAGACACGCAAACAGATTGAGTTGTTTTGGAAAGGAAGAAAGGCAAATGTCTGAAGAAAGCAGGAACAGGTTAGATGCACCACAGGCAAAAACAAAAGAACCTCTTCCCTGTTTTAGGGGGGGAAAGAGAGAAGGGGAGAGAGGGGGAGGGGGCAGAGAGAAGTTTTCATATGGCATCAGTTTGTTTTTTCTGTGTTCTGGGGGCTTTTTTTAGTGCTGAGATCAAACCCAGGACCTCCTGCATGCTAGGCAAGCGCTCTACCACTCAGCCACATCCCCAGTCCTGCCAATTAACTCTAACTTCGTTTTTTAAGTTATAAGAAATAATGATAGACACTTGTCTTGGCCAGCTACACTGAAAACCTTGTTCTAATAAATCATATGTACAAATCATCACAGTGGCACATTCAGGTTTGTCAGTCTTAACCACAATATTGGGGCCTCCTGTATTCTCCCATTTCTGTTATGTTTGTTTCAGATTCCTTACATCAGTAGCAATGACAAAGCAACCAAGATTTTAACTTTGGATCCCCTCCATAATTGCACACTGACGGGAAAGTTAACTTCAGCTTTGCTTTATAAGCCCTTACAGCGACTCTCTAAAATAGGAGAAACAGTCACATCGCTAGAGATATGCGTCACTGGAGACTGTCCTAGGGTGATAAAGATTTGCTGAGACCATTCTACACTTCCTATGTATAGAGGAAGTTGCCTGTAGAAGCAAATTTAGCAACTCAGAAGCTACTAAGGAAATTTTGCAGAAGAAATTTTGGAAATTTTATTACCTCCCTGGAGCCAAATAACCCACAGGAGTGAGCAATATGGCATTAAACTTGGTGTTTTAAAACAAAAAAAACTCAGGCTGGGATAGTGCCTGCCTGGCAAGCATAAGGTTCTGAGTTCGATTCCCAGTACCAAAACCAAAACAAAACAAAACTCAAGAAATATAGAGAAGAGATAAAAATATATTACTCAAGATACTTGGATTTGGGGAATGTCAACAACCCTGTAAAAAAGCACAACTACCCACAACTTTGTTACAGAATTATATTTCAAGAAATACTAGGCCTACCACTGGAACTATTAAAGATGAAAAATTATGTACAAATTTTAAAAATACTCATCTAAAATGGTTTAGTACACAGTATTTATCTAAACTATGAGAATACAAAAAATCTTTTGCGGGCAGCTGTGTGTTGGGTTTTGTTTTGTTTCTTCAGACAGGGTCTCGCTATGTAGCCCACGTTGACCTTGAACTCACAGGTTTTCCTGTGTCAGCCTCTCAAGTGCTGAGGTTACAGGCGTATGCCGCCATGGCTGGCTTGTTTTGTTTTTGAGAGAGGGTCTTACCATGTAGTCCAGACTGGCCTCTAATTTGTGATTCTGTCTCAGTCTCCCAAGTGCTGGAATTACAGGCCACCATGCCTGACCCACAAAAATGTTTTAATGGACCAAAAGCTAAAACCTTATGTGGGTAAAAATAGGAAATAAGTATGAGGCACAGCACAGACTAAAACAGAAACTAAACATGGAGCAAAAAAAAAAAAAATGGGGCTCAGCAACTAAAACTGAAGTGTACTAAGACTTGTCCAACTGTACAGGGCCTTCAGGTAGGCAGTCTTCTGCACCTTCAGATTTTGAACCAATACCTCAAATCCAGAAAGCATTAAGACAGATAGCTTTTTACCGTATCAGCTGGGGTAAAACATATCCAATGCAAACTCTCTGTACTTTGTTGCTCTTAATTTCTCAACACTCTGCAAAGAGCACGATTCCCAAGTAGGCTTGACTTATGTTTTTTATAATGTGGCTCAGCAACAGAACACTTGCCAAGCATGAGCAAGGTTCTGGGTTCAATTCCCAGAACAATGACGACAACAACGGGACTCCAAGGAAGTTTGGTTGCAATGTCTCAGGTTCCATGAGTTCTTTTAAGATGAAAATTAGGACAGTGCTTTATAGTGGATTTCCCTCAGTTCTTGATACCTAATCATTTATAGACTGACCTGAAATGTTTGGAAAGCTATAGTCTTGGTGAACAGACACTTGGAAAAACAGGAATTACAGTAGATTCAAAGATGGATGAGAATATTTATAAAATCTAGTCAGGAAGAGCTGACTCAAGTAACAGACCACAGAAAAAAACCCCATGGTGTTTTCTATTAGAAATTTACTTGTATAACTCTATACCAAAATAACATGAGAATGTAGATGTACTCAGGAACCAGAACTCACTGGATGTTACACAAAATTATACACTTAAGTACAGTAAGACACTCCAGCCATGACTGGAATATATATAATCTGTTAATAAAATAAGTAATGCTACAAATATGCTTAATAATTTAAAACACAGAGCCAATAGGAGTTCAGAATGAGTGTCTCATGGCTATAATTGACATTAAAACTTCACTTACCTCCATAATTTAGGAGTCATGAATATATAGAAATCAGCAGACTAGGCATGCAAGTCAGATGTAACTAGGACAAAAAAATAGAAAAGAATCCCAGTTCTGGGTAACACATTTGAGATTGTAGGTTCACCAAACTTGTATTAATCAAGTGGTTAAATGATTAATATAAAATGGCCAAACATCTTCATAGGTCCAGAGGACATATTATTAGAGTGCTTGCGTTTGTTTGTTTTTGTTTTTGAGACAGGGTTTCCTCTATGCAGTTCAGGCTGGCCTTGAACTCACTTTGTAGGCCAGGCTGGCCTCAAACTTACAGTGATCCTCCTGCCTCAGCCTCCCAAGTGCTGGGATTATAGGTGTGTGCCACCACAGCTGGCCCTATTACTCAAATTTT